CAGGAAGCTGCCAGCGCCACTAAACAGGAGCTTCAGCGTCGTGAGGCTGAGGTGGAGGGTCTTCGAAGAGAACAATGCTTACTTTTGCGTGCAGGAGATACGCGAACTTGCTTCCATCACAGCACATTTAATCAACAAAATTTAAGAGAACCACAGCGGTTAGTTGATGTCAAATATTTTCGGATTATGTGCTGCCTTTCAATAGTCGTTTCATGAACAAGAAGTATATCTGTGAATTCTAATACCTTCAGCGGAGCTCCTCACCCTTGTTTGACAGAACCTACTTTAGTGACACCTTTTTCTTTTTCATTTTCGGATTCTTGATAATTGCTGTACTGCGAATTTACCCAACTCTGTTGACTTGCAATTTGATACGATTTGCGCGCGCAATCCAACAGCTGTTGAATGTTATTTTGATTTGATCACTAGTAAGTTCGCAGTCCTGTGGTAGTAAATAAAAGTGGAATTGGAACCTCGGGATTGCGGTAGTTATCCTAAACCTATTTCAGAATTCAGTCTTGGTAAACAGAAACCAGTCGGAATCCCGATGTTTTAAAAAGGGTCCGGTGGCAACTTTTTTGGCTACTGAGACTTCAGCTCTTCTTCGTCGTATCGCATTAGAACTCCTCCTTTAAGCATTTTTCAGCAACGACAGTACATTCAAGGCGTACCATTCGTATCCTAAATTTCATCTTAAGGACCTTGAATTACCCTTTATGGTTCAGAAGTTAGTATCTTGCGTCGCTGCACTAAATAAAGTTTTTTGGGATGGAAAAATTGATGGCGGCAGATCGTGCGACAACCCACTGTATCGCTGCTTAGCATTTTATAGCATTTCGAATCCATTGGGTTATCTAACCTTCTCAGGGGCGATCGATGGGTCTTTCAGAAAAGTCAAATGTACCTTTAAAAATGTTTGTGACCCACTGACCTGGCAGTTATCTCAATGAGTCGCAAATTTTTCAATTTGAAAATGCGTTGATTTACTTCAAACCAAGGAGCGAAATATACGTAATTTTAGTTGCATGCAATGAAAGGAAGCGCATATTTCCTTGTTTTTTGCTTTTTTTTATATTTTCCAAAGTGGGAAATTTTCTTGCAGAATGGAAGAACCTACACTGGGTATCCAGGAGAATTCCCCCCCTCCACCCTCAATTGCCTTTCAAAAAACCAATGACTCAACCCTTGACGCCCAGTTGAGGCGCTTGAGGGATGAACGAGAGTGTCTTCTGGCCTCTGGCGTCTACTACGAGGATGATGCGCTGATTATTGACCTAGACAAGGAGATCAAGCGGCTCCAAATCGCCGTTAGCAATTCTGCTTGATTTCTGGCCTTTTTTCGAATTTCGACTGGTATTGGCCCATGAGTTAATGGATTGTTTGGGCTGCGACTTAATATTAAAAGTTTGTTTCCTTGAGAAAACGAGGGCTACATAAATTCTGTGTTGATTGTACAGAAAATAAGGCGGATTTCCCTCCCAATTCTCGGGCTTCTTTCACTGAACGGGATTCATTTAAACATCCGAAGTGGATCTCCACACTTAAGGATCAGCTTCCATATCAATGCTCTTGGTTGCTCTAGTTCTTACGCTTAGCGGCTTCGAGTTGCTATACCCAATCAATGTAGAGTCCCCTCCCAGAGTAATAATTTGACGGAAATCGACGTACGATTCCGCTTGTCAATCTTATGTAGAATGGCTAAGACTTTGTCATGCCTCAGAGGTGCAAGCTGTGCTCACCAGGAAATGTTGATACCCGCTCAGAGGGACTTGGATGTTGTTGGTGGAGTGTAAATGTGGGTGGATCATGTCCTGATTGTGGTCATTAGCGCTCCGAACTACTAGTTGGTGAGCAAGTTGCAGCTTTCATACTCGTACTTGAATGCTAGTGTTACCAAATAAGAAAGAAAATCTGGATTTGCCAAAACCATTGATGATCAGGTGGTAGCTTACAGAGTGGGTCTGACGCTGTGGAAATGGACAGCCAAAACGAGAAGGAAACATGTGACGTTGTTGTCAGGTCCAATTTCTCTCACTTGAGGGATAACTGCTATCAATCAAGGGTTCAAGCCACCAAACTAGGTAAGGAGAATAAGACAAATGAATATTGAACCTGAAAATTTGAGACTTCTTCCTCCGAAATAGGCTTCCGAAAGAGGTTTGGATGACATGTTAATTCTTCTGCAGTATCCTCACTCAAAACAGATTTCGATTCTAAGAGGAAAATACAAGGGGAGTGTACTGTCAATCGACGTTAAATGGAAGAAGAATAAGAACAAAACAGCTTTATGGCCTGGAGTCGCAAATATATGCAAACCAGAAACCTGTCGACAATTTGCACTGATTGAAAAATACGCTGCATAAGTTAACGTAGCCCAACTCGATGCAGCATAATTCCAAGAGCAATATTCAAAGTTTGCCAAGAAAAACAGGAATACCATAAATGGAAGAGCATATATTAGCAACAGCTAATACTTCTTAAAAGGCCCATCAGTCAAGCACAAAAGTAAACGCCACTAACCGGGTGTCCGCTTCAGATGTGCCCTAAACCGTATTAGGGGTACATGGCTTTTCACGGTAGCAATGGAAAACATGTGCTTTGAATTCATCTGTGCGAGCAAAGCACTCAATTCGAAATTGAATCGAAGCATCACAGACCTAAATCATGAAAGAAAGAGAAGAAACTTTCCCAATCTGTGTTTAAGGTCAACAAGTTCGTATTACTTTGGTAATTCCTTAAAACAAATAAAAGTGCTTCGACAAGCACAATGTAAGTCAAAAATTTTCGTTCGAAAAAATCTAGATATACATTGTTTTAAACTTACAGCTTAGTAGCAGAATCGCAAATTCACTGCTAAATATTTTCTCGAAATTTTTTTAACGCACAATTCTGCACTAATAGTGTAATTTCCCGAGACTTCCCATAGGGTAGTAGAAGGCATAAGTGAGGGTAAATACATGTATTCCATCGACGACAGGGCAAATGGAGCCTAAGCGTGGCCCACAGGCTAGCCCATGTGTACAGCGGCCAGACAAATTCTAAAGTAGCCTCAAAACATCAGGTAGTCACATAAATGAAGCATTACACTGCCCCTCTCTCCTTTCGAGCGACATCCTCGACCCTCCCCCTTAGTACACTTCCCGCGCCAGCCATCACAGCATATTCAGTACTACAAGAAAGCACCCACGAGCTA